AAATTTTTTAATTTTTAATTAAATTAAAATTTAACTTAACTAAAAATAAAAAAAAAAAAAAAAAGGATTTATAATATTAGAAACAAATCATTCATATGGGAAAGAGCAGTACAGAATAAAATCCAATGATATCTTCAAACAAGATCATGTCTCAATATCAATGGATATGGAACATGAACCAAGACGAGTTGGTCTTCAAATTAATGGCGATATTAAAAAGCGAAGTTTATTTTATGATATTTTTTTGCCTCTTTTCTTTTTTCAGAATTTGAATCAAAAATTTTGAACTAATCATGCATATAACTATATTTAATTAGTGATAAAAAAAAAAGAAAAATGAAAAAAGTAATATAACATTTTAAATTAAATTTGCAGCAAAAAGGTTGTGCTGAAGTTTAAAGTTTTTTGTTTAAATAAATATGCATAATTAATGAGTTATGTATTCAAAGGAAAGAAAAAATAATTAGTTCAAAAGAAAATTAGTATCAAAATGAGTTGAAAAAAAAATTAGCATAAAAATAAGTTGAAAAAAAAAATTACTTCAAAGAAAAATTTGGTTTAAAAGTAGTTCAAAAAAAAAAAACTGGTTCAAAAATGAGTTAAAAAGAAAATCAGTTTAAAAAAAAAAATGATTAGATCGATCGAATGGTTAAACTGATTAAATGTTTAGATTGATTAAAATATTAAAAATTGATTAAATGATTAAATTAACAAAATGATTAAATTTATTAGATTAAATTGATTTGTGAAAAAATTGATAATAAATATATGGAATGATATAATAAAATAAAGTTAGTTTTACTTTTTTTTTTTTACTTTTATGAATTATTTATGGATTTTTTTTTTTTTTGCGAAAAAAGATATAAATTTAAGTAAATTTATAGGAACACCATTGGATATTTCTCAACGATTACAATATCATAATTATACAACATCATACAACAATGAACAATATGCTGCAACAATAACAGCAACAACAATAACAGCAACAACAACAACACCGACAACAACAACAGCAACAACAACAACAACAATAATAGCAACAAGTGCTGGAACATTAAACATTCCTACAACAACATTTACAAAAAGTGTTGCTCAAGTTTAAAACATTTGTTAGAAAATGCACAAATTTATTTCCTTATATATATTTTTTTCATCAATTAATTTAATTAGTAGTTGAAAATTATTGTTATTTTAGTAATTTAAGCTTGAAAGTTTAGCAAAATTTTCTAATTATAATTTATGAATTTTAACTTCAAATATATAATATAGTTGAACTTTTTCGATGGCAATTAATTATTTTTTTATTTAATAATTTGAATTTGACAGTTGTAGAAATTATGAAAGAAAAAATAGAAACATAATTTGGAACAAACTTTTTGTTTTCTCATAATAATTCCACATTTATTTTTTTGTATAATAATTTAAAATTTAAAATTAAAATGAATCATAATTCTATTATATTTAAGATTATATAATAGAGTTATGATTTTATTAAATATCAATATCAATGTTAATGGTAGCATTCGAAATGTTTTTACTTTAATCAATAAATAAGTTATGAATAATGTTTACATAATGAATATGCAATAATTCTTTTAATTTTGTTTTTTTTTCTTCTTAACAAATTGTCTAATATTATTAATTATTTTTCACCCCTTCTTTTTTTTCGCATTATAATCTCTTCTTTCTTAACAAACTGTCTAATATCATTAATTATTTTTCTACCCTTTCTTTTTTTTTTTTT